GAAACATAAGCATAAACAGAACTTACAATTATTTACACTAGTGATCTACATCTCTTTAAATCTCTCAGTGTAATGTCACTTCATATCAACACTTGTGATATAAATAAACTGAGTGGGTCAGGTTGGGAAACCTGGTGAGTACATAGGGTTTTCAACCCACAATAATATAATTATTATGTTTAAACAATCAAACAATCAACCCAATTACCCATCCCCATTATCTTCTTTATTCTTAAGGATCTACCCTAAGAATCAGCTATTTCTCATTCATTCATTCCTAAGGATCATCCTAAGGAAACAACATGAAGTCCATTGTTGCCAATGACACATTGGTCAAGCGCAGCTGCTAATATTGTCACTTAGGCTCAGCTGCCAGAATTAGGACATTTTCTATGAGGCGCTTCTGCCGGTATTGACCTTTAAACACTACTGTCATGGTCATAAGGCTCCCTATTAGGCGCAGCTGCCGATACTATCCTTAGAGCGCAGCTGCTAGGATGTTTACCGTAGATCTAAATCATCTACGGGTTGTGGCGCAGCTGCCAGTGCTCATCTATAGGGTACTAGGTCCACTGCTGCCAATGTATACCTATAGGGCACTAGGTCTGTACTAGTAATGTTCCTCTATTTCAGCTTTTATCCATCATCATTCATCTACCCATGTTTTACCCAACATATTTTGTAGATATAAATACTTTATACAGTTTACATCATTTAAAACATGTATAAAAATCTTTCACCAGCATAGACAACAAGTATTCAGACAATATGCACACATAACACGTAATTTATATTAAAATACTTCATATCTATGTGTAAGATGAAAGAGACCATGCACTCACAACACGTAAATTATATAATAAATACTTCATATCTATGTGTAAGATGAAAGGGACCATGCACTCACCTGAGAAGGTGGTGACTCGGTACTCGGACAACGCTTCGTTTACTTTAAAATAATTTCCTTCGACGAAACCTAGTATTATCACCAATAGATTTTAGTCTATTATTCGCCGAGACTAATTAATAGTCTAGCTATTATTACTATTATATATGCGTTAAAAAAATACTTATATAACCCATAATAATAGCCCAAGTATTTATTATATGTTCTTAATAACGTTAATATAATTAAATAAAAACTATATTAAAAATAGCGTAGGCGTAGCTCACTTACAGCGGGTTTTATAGAAAACAGACTTTGCTTGGAGCAGCGTTTCCGAGCCGAAAAGCTCTTCTTCTCGGAGCCGTCGAGCACTCCGGGGCTTCCGCCTCGTGCTAGGGAGGTTCCCTAGGCTTTTCGGGGGATTTCGGGGCTAGAGAGAGGTTCTAGAGAGAGAGAGTAAAGAGAAGAAAGAATGGGAAAGGTGTGAAGAAAATGAGGGTGGGAGAGGTGGTATTTATAGGGTGAAAATGGCTGAACTTGGTGCCACATGTCACCATCTAGTGGCAAGACTTGGGGAGAAAGCAATGGCCAAGATTGTGCCACATCACCCATTTTCGCACAGCACACTTCCGACTTCTAAAATCCGTAACTTTCACATACACCTCCGTTTTTGACGTTCTTTATATCCACGCGTAGGTAAAAATAATATCTACAACTTTCATTTTGACTCCGTCGGCTAATTCTCGACCGATCTTAAATTTAACAGTACGAGGCGTTTAGACTGTTAAATGACCGCGAAGAATTCGTAACTCCTTCATACCGACTCCGTTTTCGTCTGTCTTTTTACCGTTGAGTTCCTATTAATGAGATCTTGAACTCTCATTTAGGTCACGTAAGCCAAAAACCGCTCGAACTAAAATTCGAGTTTCGGGCCGTGCACTGCTAAGCCGAATCTTAGAAAAATCATAACTTCCTCATACGAAGTCAGATTTGGGTGTTCTTTTTATCGACGCTCTTAGTTTAACATATTCTACGACTTTTGTTTATATTGCTAAGGATAAATCTCGCTCTATCGTAAATTCACTATTTACGCTTCCCGGTGTCGTGCCGGTTTTGCCGTAAAACTTCGACGGGCCATAACTTCTTCGTTATAACTCGGATTTCGGCGTTCTTTATATGTACGGAAACCTTGTGACATATTCTACAATTTGGTTAAGATTATTTATTCTAAATAATATTTTGTCGAAAAGTCATTTTCGACCCCTATTGCCTCTAAATTGACTAGCCCGGATCTGCGGGCGTTACAATTATCTCCCCCTTAGGATGATTACGTCCCGGAATCATCAACGAAACAGGGCTCGTATAATGACTCCATACGTCATCTATTCATCCTAGGTAATAATTATAACTTCTTTATTCCTTCGAGTCTATCTTTTAGACTTATTATCTGTAAGTAGTACTTAATTATGCACCTGCTATCTTCTTCAGGTTAGACTCCAGATTACGACGTATCATCATGTGATGCTCATTTAGACTTAGGTCTTTTAGAGTTAAATTCTGAAATAAACTATGCCTTCCTTCACGTTCTAATGTGATATAATCACACTTTAACATGTAGCATTTCTAGCTACCAACTTCTTTAGCGTCGAGCCGATACTTCTATTGGTCGCTTTGATTTCAGTTGTTTGGTTAAAGTCGGACGCTACGTCAAACTTGGTTCTCTAAACCACGTAACCTACTCATCGTATTCGGACTCAATGTGACATGACCACTAGGGTTGGGATAACAACAATCTTCTTAGTCATTACCGAAACAATGGTAACGGCATACTTGAATAAAATGAAATCAATTACTGGCTTCTTGGTAACCTTGTGACTTTCCCTGATCCAAGTGTGAGTCCTGTGCTTCCGGTAGTATAGGCCTCTACTACCATTCACACCTACTCATACTCGTCCCAAGTATTGTCCCGCAGTTTCCCAAGTCACCATGCAGCAAAATCACACAATCATTCAACACATTAGATAACCACTACTAGAAAAAAGGCCTTTTACGACGCTCATTGCGCGTCGTAAAACGCTCAGACGACGCGCAAATGCGCGTCAAGGAAGGCCCTGTCATAACGAGAGACGACGCGCTTGTGCGCGTCGTCTATATACGACGCGCATTTACGACGCGCATTTATGACATGCAATGCGTATCATTAAAAACCGCTGTCAAGAAAGGCCATGTCATAAACGAAGATGACACACATTTTTGCGTATCGTAATTTTTATTTTTATTTTTAAAAAAAAATATATTTATAGGTTTACTAATTTTCAAATTAAATTTGCATTTCATGTTTCATAATAGAAAATAAAATACCATATACAAAAAATACAATCCATTGCATAAAAGTTAATGTCATTCAAAATAAATAATAAAATACAATAAATAAGAAAGATAATTCATTGCACTAAAATGCAAATACAAATAATCATGGCTAACTACATAACCTAATACTACGTTGCTATTAAGGGACATCATCATAACTCACTGAAGGTCTTGGAACAATGTTCGCATCATCAACTCTTACACCAACCTTGCTTTAGTAGATGACTTTCACACAATCAATATTGAAATAGATGCTGCTCGGGCCACCATAGATGTTGCTCGAACTTACCGAGCTCAAACTTCCTAACCAAAACCCAAAACCAAACAAACACCATATCAGACACAATATTTAAATCAAAAATAAAAATGTAACGAACAGAACCTTGAAAAGCATAAAACAAAACTTAAAATTTACATGAATTAAGCTTCCTATATAAGTGCTCCAACCTTGTGTGGGCCCAATTCCTTGAGAATGAGGAAGAAAAATTTGTAAATAAGTTAGCAATAAATAAATTTTTGGAATTGGAAATTAAATTGTTTGGATAATATCATGAAAATAAATGAAGGATTTCATAAACCAACCTGTTCTCTTGCCAAATTTACCCATCCACCATAAACATAACCAAGGGCAATTCCTGTAGGTATGCACATGTAAAATATTCCCAACCAAGTTGTTCTCTATAAGAAGAAAAAAAGATAAATATGTTATATTTATATAGGGGTATTATCGTCATATGTAGAAATATTGGGTGATTTGTAGAAAAAGATGGAACCTGAGATAATTTCTTGAAAGATTCATTCATTTATCTCCTTCGATAACTCTATGTATGTCTTGAAACAATGGAATGAAATCAAATGTTTCTGAGTGAGTCGGATTAAAATTTTAAAGATTATTAAACATAACCAGTTGCTAGGAATAACCAACCAACAGAAGAATTTAAAATAGACAAATAATAAGCAAGAGGACTTTAATTAAATAAAGTACATTATTACCAGCTAGCAATTTTGCTTTCACAAACTGCAAAAAGAAAAAAAAAAACTTAAATTTATAGCTCTTGAAATTACTATAATAAACTAATTTATGATTTGTTATTACCTGGCGGAATAGCACCCATGCATAACAGGTGTGGTGAATAGTCTCTGTTATTCCCAAGATACGCCACATTGACTTTAGAAGTTCAAGTATTTCTTCCACTTCCTGCATACATTCATAAAATATAGCTGTTTGTTATGCGTCATCATCATATATGCTACTTCCATTTCTTTCTTAAGGCTTGTTAAAGCTACCCAATAATGTTGCCACTTCTTGCATTTAACTCCACTAGTAAATACAACATTAGAAGTTTAATGTTAATCATGCTACCATGGTTTGTAAGGGTACAGGTGGAGGGAGGGAATTTAATCAATTTATAACAAAATCATTCTTAACATTGGATATAAAATTTACATACCTCAGAAATCTGTGTTTACAACAATCATTATTATTATCAAGCACAACTTTGTGGGGTCCAGAGTCTACTAATTAATAACATGACATAAGGAAGTAGCATATACTTTATATAACTAATAGTAATATCTGTAATAGAACTCCTATCTGGTAAGAGCAAACCTAAACTCAGTATGGTTTCTAACAGTCCCCATCAATCATGTCCAACATGCAAACAAACCATATATCATACAAGCAAAATAGACTACTATATAAAACAGTGTATATATAAAACAGAAATATAGTTTGTACCTCCATCTAGACACACATTGTCTCCAGTAGGCCAGTCAAACCAGTCGATTGTTGGGATTGATTTGTAACTTGTTCACTCTTACTCCTTCCAAGCTTCTTCAACAATTTGGATTTCTTTTCTTTTTTCTTCTCCTTTGATGGCACTATAAGTCCCCTGCTTAAACAATCATTACATAATAGTCAAAAGGTAGTTTGGCAGATCTGTAGTCCAGACAGAATCAGTCACAGCAAAATGGGAATTCAAAAGAAATTCTAAAACTATGTGTGTGTACAAAATAAAGTTCATGCACAGAGCCAAAGATAGAAAAGAAAGAAAAGATACCCCGAAGCTCCTGCAGCAGCCAGAAGGATTTCATAGGCAGATTCACGAAGATCGTCATCAGTTATACCTGAAGAAATGACCAAACACATAACTTAACACACCAATTTCAGAAGATGATACAATATTTTCATAAAACTTTCCATATTTGTGTTTACCTGTTGCAAATGAAGGCAAACCCACAACAAGATCAACAGTATCATTCATTGTTCTCCTTGAATACCTGCGACTATTCAGTTCCTCCAAATCATTATCATCCTCAAAATCATCAATGTCATCAACAGTTAAATTCTGAGCTGGGCCCGAGTTAAAAGATTTTGAGTTGGATATAACTGGTTCATCCTCTTCTGTTGCCTCAAAGGGGAGTGATGTTATGTCTGACATAATGGGTGATGGGGCCACAAAAGGACCAGCTGGTGGAGCCCTCCTTGGAGGTAAACCTGATAATTCAGGATTGGTAGCCAAAAAAACTCACCTTCAGACCCTGCATTCTTTATTACACAGGAAAAAAAAACAAATAAATGAATAATAAACAAAAAAGGATGGTGATGCAATGTTCAATGATTCCTAGTAATAAGTGCCCAGTGATATATCTACTTCCATCCCCTCAAATCTGTAGCAACTACCAGTATGGGATGTCCTTTATTGATAACAATCTTTGTTCTTCAGAAGTTCTATCAGCTAAATTGCCATATTTCTCTATAACACTACAAAAGCATGTGTAATATAGATAATGGCCAATACATTTATTTCAATTAAAAATTTAGGAGGTATATGGATTATGGAAACAATTTTGCATATTGATTCATGATGTATATCCATAAAAAGATTATGTATTTATATGCACATGGGATCAATTGTTATTTCTAACAAGGGCACTTATGACTTATGAGTAATTTCAGTTACACACTAGATAAATACAGTTCCCGTTTTTGTCTATTCACCAAAAAAGATATGCATTATTATATTTAAGATATATAGACATTAATTATTGGATGTATTATGAGATGCAAAGTAAGCTTGTACTAAATCATACCTGTATGCGAAGGACTACATCCAGAAACATCGACGACAAAAGAGCACCTCGATCTAAAAGTTGTAAGAGAGAGAGAGAGAGAGAGAGAGCATTCAAAAGGAATAAACATGGGAGTTTATTAGAGCGAGAGAGATGAGAGATGAGAGAGAAAGAGAGAAATGGAGGGGAAGAGTAGCTGCAACCCGTAAACTTTACCTCACTGTGTCTTCGGTTGTGTTATTGAAGTAGGCCCAGTAAAGTACATAGTCAATCCAACTTCCTTCCACACAATCTTCTTTTCTCAATCCCAATTCCGGGAAGTTTTTGGTCATTAGAGCCAACCATCTTCTCCCCAAATCACTCAAAACCCTAACCCCTAATTCACTAATTCAACAGTGGGATTAATTTTGTATTTAGGGGAAGCTAGAGAGGAAGAAGATGAATACGAAAGTAAATATGCCAGAGCAGTCAACCATGTTATGTAATTGCTTCACCGTTGGGCCCCATCGTGAGTTGCAGCAGGGCGTTGTCAACATGAAGAGTCGCAGACCCCCAATCGCCGGTTCTATGGAAGATTTTGTGAGGGACAAGAAGCGGTGATAGAAACTAGGGTTTTTGTTGGAGACGGAAAAGCAAAATAAGAAGCGAGCCTGATTCTTTGGTCGCCGATTTTATTTTATGGAGCAAGAAGAAGATAGCGTCGGGGGAGAAGAAGATAGATCCGACGAAGGTAAAAAATATGGAGCAAGAAGGAACGTGAACGGCCAGTGGTTGTGTCTAGGGTTATAGAGAGAGAAAGAGAGAGAGAGAGAGAGAGAGAGAGGATGGAGAGAATGGCTCTGTGCGAGAGATAAGGCGACCCATAGGATCAGAGTGAAAAGCGGGGTATTCAAAATTTTAGAATTTTAGATCCTCTTTAAAAACGCGCGTTTTGTTAAAAAAAAATATAAAGCGATATTTGTAGACGATACACACTTAAAATAAGCGCCCTCCGTGTTTTTAATTTTGTTTTGTTTAACACTAATCGTAGGGCACGCACAAATGCGTGTCCTCTATCCATCAAATTTTGGAAAACTGACATCGATTTTTAGGGCACACACAAATGCGTATCCTCTATTAGCGTGTGTCATTGATTGCGCGTCGTTAAAGGCTGTTTTTCTTGTAGTGAACAAAACGAAGGTTTTATTTTATTACTTGAAACGATTACATGGGTGTTCAAGTTCACCCTAGATTATGCCTCTAATAGGCTACATCATGTGACACCATCTATATAGCTTCTTCATGACTCGATCTCTATATATCCATCCTTACTCCTGATTCCTTGCATCGTCAGCTGCTTCGTCAAGGATCATTTGAAATGCTCTTGCCTTTGGTTTTGGCGGCACATTTGGCTTTATAGCCCCTTCTCTCTTTGGGCAATCTTGCTTGAAGTGCCCTTCCTCGTTACATTCATAACACACCCTTTTGTTGAATTTACACTCGTTGGCATAGTGCCCATGCTTCCCACACTTGAAACAAGTCACCTCCTCACCGCATTTTCCAGAGTGTTTCTTTTTACACTTCTCGCACCATCTTTCTTCACTCCCTCCTCCTCTAAACTTCCTTGTACTGGACTTGCTTCTCTCATCGGGCTTCGCAGACCCCTCAAACTTTCTCTTTTCGCCAACCTCGGTCTTGTTGGCGGCTCTTCCCTTGATCATCTCCTCAACCGACTTGGCAGCCCAGATAGCTGCCTCCAAAGTAGGTGCCTGACGCACTGGCACCGTGTACTCCCATGGAAGTCCTTTTGCATACTTGTCAACTTTCGTCAGCTCATCCGGAACAAGACGTAATGCGAACTCCATCTTCTCTGTGAAGTTGTTGGTGTATTCATCAATAGACATGCTTCCTTTCTTCAAGGTAAGGAATTGGTTTTCTAGCTCGAGCAGATTTTGGGCTGAGCAGTACCTACGTTTGAATTGCACCAGAAATTCTACCCATGTCAGTTGCAGGGGCTCATTGGGGCTCAGAGTCTTCCCCAAGGTATTCCACCAACGTACAGCGCCTCCTCGAAATTGACGCACTGCAAATGTGGTATGTTGTTTTCCCTTGCAACCGCACGTCATGAAAGCTAATTCCATCTCCGAGATCCAATCCATGACCCCGATCGGATCCTCCTTTCCAGTGAAAGTCGATGGCTTGCAAGTCAGAAAATCCTTGTACTTGCATCCATTCCTCTCGACTTCGTCGTCATGGTTGTTTTGTCGAACTATTGGTGGGTTGACTTGACCAACAGTCCCACTGTAGTTCTCCTCCTCAGTCTGCCCTTCATTCAACTCGGGGCGTTCGATCTGAATAGTCGCTTCCTCTCGATTTTGCTGGATCAAACTTCTGGTTTCCTCCATTTGACGATCCAACATTTCCTGGATCATCGCTTGCACTCCGGCCATCGTTATTGGCTCAGCAGCGGCTACCATAACCGGTATTTGCTCAATCACTGGGGGTTGGTTCCATTTGCATTCACGTTTCCGCTACGGGTTCTTGCCATCTTGATCTATACACCGAATAAGGTGAATCTAGATCTTTACTTAGGATTGACGGTTAAATCATCCTTATCACTCCGAAACGTTTATATGCTAGTTCTAATATCATAGTTAAACGCTTAGAATCCTAAACACATAAGGTTTCCAGATCCGGTCGGCAACAGACCATAGATCCGAACAACTAACACTATATCAGGCACAAGTATTTAGCACATAAAAGCATTTTAGGCACAATTCCTAAAATAATCTAGTGCTCACACCTCACAATCATCGCTTAGCGTTCTAAGTTTAAGTCTAGAAATAAATCCATATTCCTAGTTCGCTTAAACTAATGCTCTGATACCAACTGTGACATCCCCATTTTCACGGCCAGAAAAGACCGATTTTATTTATGCTTTATAAAAATCAGAGTACTTCATTTTATAAAAATGTTGCGGAATTTGTTCCCAGAAAAACATGGTAAATACGTTATTAGAACATTTTCGAAGAAACGTATTTATTTCATTTTAAAACGTTTGGGACGTCATCGTTAATACAGAAACATAAACATAAACAGAACTTACAATTATTTACACTAGTGATCTACATCTCTTTAAATCTCTCAGTGTAATGTCACTTCATATCAACACTTGTGATATAAATAAACTGAGTGGGTCAGGTTGGGAAACCTGGTGAGTACATAGGGTTTTCAACCCATAATAATATAATTATTATGTTTAAACAATCAAACAATCAACCCAATTACCCATCCCCATTATCTTCTTTATTCTTAAGGATCTACCCTAAGAATCAGCTATTTCTCATTCATTCATTCCTAAGGATCATCCTAAGGAAACAACATGAAGTCCATTGTTGCCAATGACACATTGGTCAAGCGCAGCTGCTAATATTGTCACTTAGGCTCAGCTGCCAGAATTAGGACATTTTCTATGAGGCGCTTCTGCCGGTATTGACCTTTAAACACTACTGTCATGGTCATATGGCTCCCTATTAGGCGCAGCTGCCGATACTATCCTTAGAGCGCAACTGCTAGGATGTTTACCGTAGATCTAAATCATCTACGGGTTGTGGCGCAGCTGGCAGTGCTCATCTATACGGTACTAGGTCCACTGCTGCCAATGTATACCTATAGGGCACTAGGTCTGTACTAGTAATGTTCCTCTATTTCAGCTTTTATCCATCATCATTCATCTACCCATGTTTTACCCAACATATTTTGTAGATATAAAATACTTTATAAAGTTTACATCATTTAAAACATGTATAAAAATCTTTCACCAGCATAGACAACAAGTATTCAGACAATATGCACACATAAAACGTAATTTATATTAAAATACTTCATATCTATGTGTAAGATGAAAGAGGCCATGCACTCACAACACGTAAATTATATAATAAACACTTCATATCTATGTGTAAGATGAAAGGGACCATGCACTCACCTGAGAAGGTGGTGACTCGGTACTCGGACAACGCTTCATTTACTTTAAAATAATTTCCTTCGACGAAACCTAGTATTATCACCAATAGATTTTAGTCTATTATTCGTCGAGACTAATTAATAGTCTAGCTATTATTACTATTATATATGCGTTAAAAAAATACTTATATAACCCATAATAATAGCCCAAGTATTTATTATATGTTCTTAATAACGTTAATATAATTAAATAAAAACTATATTAAAAATAGCGTAGGCGTAGCTCACTTACAGCGGGTTTTATAGAAAATCAGACTTTGCTTGGAGCAGCATTTCCGAGCCGAAAATCTCTTCTTCTCGGAGGTGTCGAGCACTCCGGGGCTTCCGCCTCGTGCTAGGGAGGTTCCCTAGGCTTTTCGGGGGA